ACATATTCATAATTATTTATTCAGATCTTTATATTTATGTAATTTGTATTTTGATATCAATGTTAAATCTTTTATTTATTTGATTGATTGAATGTTCTCAGTAAAATTTGATATTTTATGCAATTATTTGATTAATCATCAATATAGTTGATTAATCATCAATTAATTTGTTTTTTAAATCAATTAATTTAATTTGTTCATTCAAAAAATATTTTCAGGTTAACTAAATTGATGTCGAAAATTAATTGAGATAATCAATATTACGTAAATTCAAGTAAATTGAGCAAACCCAGATCCCGGAGCTAAAGAGTCATTTTTCAATTATTGTTTACCATTAACTTATTTTTTAACAATTGCTTTCTAAACAGTTCTACTTTTTATGAAACTTGTTTTTCCTTGCATTATAATTCAATTTACTCATTCCATGTGGATTGACTTCGGACTACACCGAATTATTATTATAACTTAACTGTCTAATACCACATTAACGAAGTAACGTAGCAGACATGCTATTCAGAATTCAAAATACCAAAGGGACATGAACTGTTGCAAAACCAAGCGGGGATGTTCTGTTCTCGGGTATGAAAATTTTTCTTTGTTTTTTTGGGTTTTTCGTATTTTATATCCGAACAGATTTCAAGATTTTTACTTTATACTCTTAAAAGTTAAATTTACATATTATATTATCAATGTATCAATATGGTCATTCTGTTAGTTTCAATTATTTTTTATTGTCAAAAGTCAACTCATTAACACGGTTAAAATAAACTAACATAAAGTTAACAGAAGGGTTAAATTGTAATATTTTTAATACATTGAGTATATATATATATATAAAACTTAATTTTGAGGGTACAAAATAAGAATTTTAAAATTTTTTAGGATAAACAGTGCAATTCACCCCTTCTCCCGCCCCCACTTTTTTTTTTTTTTTTCACAAACAAAATCACCTTGGGCATTTAAACATTTACCCACTTCTAATTTTCTAAACTTTATCAAAAAAATTCTCATAATATGATAGTTAAGAAATTTCAAATAAGATGGCTGAGAAAAACTCTATTCCTCTAAACTTATGCTATTCTCTTGGGTTCGATTGATTAAAAAGAAAAGAATGATGAAAAGTGAGAGTGAAGTAAAGAAAAGAAAATAAAATATATTTTCATGTACATATTTAGTTAACATGAAAAATTTAAAAGAAAGTTTTAAAAAAAATTTCATTCTATTATTCAAAAAAAAAAAAAAGAAAAGTCAGAAGAAATCTTTTTTAATTATCTAATTATTCATAATTATATTAAACCAGTGCAAAGAAAGAAAAAAAATATTTTTTAACTAATAATTTAAAAATTAATTAGCCCAATTCAATTTCACTGCATTTCTTCACATCGAAAGAAGCTTTAAAAAACTGTAAAGCAGTTAAACCTCTTATAAAACTCTACTTCTGTTACATATGTCTCTCCAGCAATTAAAAAGCAATTTAAATTAAACCATACATATTGTCCCTTGAGTGTCAATCCATGCCCCCTCAATTCAAAAAAAAATGTCACTATTTCAATTAATATAATATATTAGACATAATCCGTACCTTGATAAAATATAAAATTCGAGCGTCTAAAAAATCGATTCCATTATATTAATTTTTTTAAAAATATATTAACTACAAATTAATCAAATATTAAATAATTAAATATATGATAAAAATAAGTGATGTGTTATTTTTAGAGAAGAAATATATAAATAGTTAAACATATGATAGAAATGAATGATGCGATTTGACGTTTGAGTCTGACAAAAGGATGATGGGTGGAGTAAGTGATTGAAGATAGTTTTGAGGAAAAAAATATGACTGGAATAAAATTCAAACACATTCCTATTTTATTATATACATATATTGACTGTCGATCCACACTTTTACATCAACTATTCCCTTAATCTCATTATTCTTTCATAATTGTGTATCATATCTCTTTCTAGATACATGTGTGTTTCATCCCATTATGATATGAGTAATACTATTTAGACCTAAAAATTTGACCTAATTTATTGACATAATAATGTGGCTTCATAGGAATTATTGGATCAACACCAAATTCCAATTTTTGATAAGATCTACAATGAATCTAAAGATCACAGTAAATTATGTCAATAAATTATATTAATAAATTACGTCCCAATGACACTGCTCTTATGATATTATGTCTACTTAAAATACTTCTTGTCTATTCGCTTCTTTACCAAGTGGTCCCAGCCCCTTAATTGATATTATGGTTAAAGACTCGAGCAATTCAACACACCAAGAAGACGTCTAGTTTTCTTTTCCCGTCTATTACACCTTTCTCCAAGAAATAATGTAAAATGATATCTGCTCAGAACTACTATATATCAATTCTCAAAATAGTGCATATTAAAAAATAATTCTGAATAAGTACTGAAATGTTAATTATAGTTTCTATTGTACATTACTCGATAGTATGAAGTTCAAGACAGAGAAGCACAAAAAATCGCATAATAAACTAATGAGACACCTATATTCCTTTCAAAGATAGATTATTTCCTTTTTGAATAAACTCGTCCCTGCGATTAGCAGGAAAAATACTAAGCTGCCCAATTTTTAGTCTAAATCTTATATCTCAAATGCAAGTGCACCACATATTGAATGAAAAAATTAATTTTTTAAAACCCCTAAAATGAAATGGGTAATGTACATGTATTTAAGATACAAGATTTGGACTGCTGCTGAGCAGCATTGCAGTGATCGATTCGTAGTTACGGTTGCCAAAATATTTGAAGCCCACAATGTTCCTGCCCACGAATATCTTCTCTTAAAAAACACCCATGGTAGAAGTCTAGAACACAAACCCCACGACCCATCCAAAACCATGTGCAAGCCAGGTTTTCAACAAGCCTGAAATGCCTTGGCAGCTTCTGGCCACAAATCTCCAAAGACTTTTGCAGCCTCTGCGGCCAGAAAAGGTAAGGTCTTCTGGCCACTTTTCAACGACCACCTCTCTACACCATCAGTTTTTGGAAAGTTACCGCTCATTTCAAAATGTCAAATCATGACTATGCGTTTAAATTTCATTTGAATTTACATTTCTTTTTTCTTTTTATTGGCCTTTCATGCGTCATCCTTCGATACCAGTCTTTTGTCCCATGCGTTCCACTTGCTAATACAGTCATTTCATCGTCAAATTTGTTTGTCCATCTTTGATATGAATTAAAGTAGTGACTGCGTGAAAAAGAAATGTGGTGTCTTTAACATACTAATCAATTAATGGGGCTCTTGATATTAGAATTGTTGTATATCGTTGATCAAGAGACAATGATTATATCAGGTATTTGCTTACTGGAATTAAAAACAGAAGTTCAGGTACAATGGGTAGCACAATATCAAGTGGAATGGTATTGAACTCACAAGGTTATAGACAAACAAGTAACAGTGACACTAAATTTAAAGTCAACAATTTCCATGTATAAACACCAAATGAAAATCAAATTAATGTATTATTGAATACGGAAGGAAACAAACAAGGTTGACAACAGATCAACTTAAACTAACTCGTATTTCACTTTTTATTGTATTCCATCTCCCAACTAAAAAGAAAGAGAAGACAAGGGGACTCAATAACTTAAGCAATATTTGGGGTGAGTAGCTTCTTATTTATTCCAACAAATCAATTTTACTCTTATTTATACATAATAAAAGAATGATACTTGGGTTGATTGTCCACATCAAACAAGGGGTGGGAAAAGTGGAACTATTATTGACAATTTTTAAACTATTCATTCAGCAAGTTTTTTTTTTACAAAAAAGTTAAATAATTTTTACAAAATAAAATATACAAGCGGAGAAATAATCAAAGCTAAATTGGGAATTATGTTTTGGAGGAGCATGGTTGCGGTGAAAAACTGTGTTTAGCTAGATAGATTAGGTTGGTGGGTTCCTACCACCTGTCATCTATCTTGGACGTATTAATTCAAGTTACATTGGACGTTGTCCAGTACTGTTTTATGTTTTTAAATGTCAATAATTATATTGACACTTAAAAAATTGGTATAATTTGTTGACTTAATGATGTCTTTTATTATAACGTTTAATTAATATTAAGTTCGAGTGTTTAATTGATTGTTATTTCACTCAAATATGTAAAATTGAATGAAACCGAAGTTTCACATAACACCTTTATATATTGTTCAAAAAATAAATAGTGAACAATATAGAAGTACATTTTTCCATTCTGAAATATCTAAATATACAAAAAAATGTGATTGTCGTCATTCTGCAATAACTTCCATATTTAATCAAATAATAATTGTTTGAATTTAATAGAAAATAGATTGTTGAAAAACTAGTCGTTAGACCTTAAATATTTAGAAATTGTATTTTTAATAAGGAAGTTATTATAAAATTAATAAAATAAAATAATAGAAAGTGAGTTTGGTATTTCTTATTACTTTATTTCGTATATATATAGTCAAATATTTCTAGTGATTGAGTTTCTCACATAAATTCTACTTTTATTAAAATACTCTAACAGATCGTACAATGACCATAAAAATTACGAAAACATACATTAATGTGGTAAAAGTTAAAAACGATACCGAAATTATGTTTTTATACAGTACTCAACTCCTATCTTCCATGGTCTACCTCATCTTCATCATGTATTTCGGGGAACATTCTGAATCAGTTGTTCCCTCAAAACTAACCGATAGATTACTTACCGAAAAAAAATAGCACCAATAGATTTAGATAATTGATAAAAAAAACAGTCAATATCTAAATAGTCGGTTTCAAATAAAATTTGGAACAAAATTCAATCCTAGGCGCATGATAGTCTCAAAGCTGATTTCCGGGAACATTCCGACTCAGTTGCTGCCATTCTTTCCTTGTAGGCTTCGTTTGGAATTCTATCTATCTCTCTCTCTCTCGCTCGCTCGCTCTTGTGTATCTATTTAAGTTGAGGTTTATCAAACCCCAATCAGAAGTCACACACAAGCAAATTACCGAGTTCTGATTCTCAAATTCCAATCTCCGATCTGAAAATTGTTTGGCTTCTCCGAAATGTCATCGCCGCCAACTGTATTGTCTCTGACCGCGTCGATGGTTAATAACATCATCCTCGACCCGGCCCAATATTACTTCAAATCTGCCATTGGCTACCTCATCTCTCTATCCTCCACTCGGCGCACCATTGTCATCCACGAGTTCCGTGGAAGAATAACTCGTAATGAACTCTACGAAGCCGCGGAGACATACCTCGGTACGAAAATCAGCCCCGACACCAAGCGATTCGCAGTTCACAAAACTAAGAGAGAGAAAAAACTCAACAGCAGCATCGAGAACAACCAAGAGATCGTCGATATATACCAGAACGTTCAACTAAAATGGAGATTCGCCATCGCTGAGTCTCAGAACCCGAATAAGGCAGATAAAAAATTCTTTGAGCTCACTTTTCACAAGAAGTTCAAAGAAAAAGTGTTGGACGGGTATTTACCCTTTGTTCTGGAGGAGTACCAAAAGATAATGAATAATGACAAGGTGAGGAAGCTCTATGCTATGAATCTGTCTGATGATTACGGCGAAATTGGAAGGAATTGGGGTTCGATCAATTTTGAGCATCCGGCAACGTTTGAAACTCTTGCTATAGAGGAAAAGACGAAGAAGGCGATAATCAAGGATTTGGACAAATTTGTGAGCAGAGAAGAATTTTACAAGACGGTTGGGAAGCCTTGGAAGAGGGGATACTTGTTGTATGGGCCTCCAGGGACTGGGAAATCGAGCCTGGTTGCAGCCATGGCAAATTACTTGAATTATGATATATATGACTTGGAGCTTACCAGTGTGAAGACAAACGCGGATTTGAGGAGAATTTTGGCGACCACTACGAATCGATCGATCCTTGTCATAGAGGACATCGATTGCAGTGTCGAGTTGCGAAACCGGCAGTTGGGGAATGGCTCCTACAACAAGAAGGTTAGTTTTCTTTTCTTTCAAGGAATATTAATGAAATTTCAAAATCTGACTTAATAATGTAATTTTTTTATAATTGTTGAATAAATTTTAAATTTTAATGTTTAATGGAATAGTAATACTATGCGGACCAAATTTAGAGTCGATTTAAAAATTATAATAAATAAATCAGGCTTCTTTATTGAGACTATATCACTTAATACATCATCATGTCAATAAATTAGATTAATTTTTTAGGTTTCAATAGCATTTCTCTATTTGTTTTTCAATAAACAGTATTTGTAATTAATCTAACTTAATGCACTCATTGAAACTCATAATTAATTTAAAAACTAGGTTGAATTAGGTAGGTCACTATTCCTTACTCTTCCAAATTATGTCATTGCAAAATTTAGTTCCTTAACTAATTGTTAATTGTTTACGGACGAGTTCTATCTCGTCAACTATGTTTTGTCGATTTGCGTCGATCTATTTATTTATATAATAAAACAAGAATGTGTTTGAATTTTATCTCAATCATATTTTTTCCCTCAAAATCATTTTCAATTTTTTATCTCACTCATCATCCTTTTGTCATACTCAAACGTCAAATAGCATTACTTATTTCTATCATATGTTTAATAATTTATATATTTATTTCCTAAAAATATCACATTATTTATTTTTATCATATATTTAATCATTTAATATTTGATTAATTTGTAATTAATATATTTTAAAAAAAATTAATATAATGAGATCGATTTTTTGAACGCTCTAATTTTATATTTTATCGTGCTTTCAGACACGAGTTATTATGACTAGTTTAAAAATATCTGACAAGTCTAATAGATTCACTTGTTGGAGTAACATCCAAATTTGATTTATTCTGCATCCCGTAGCTAGAATGTTAGGCCTAATTTCTTCTTCATGCAGTTAACACTGTCGGGGCTATTGAACTTCATAGATGGATTGTGGTCGAGTTGTGGAGATGAACGAATCATTATTTTCACAACTAACTACAAGGACCGTCTTGATCCTGCTCTGCTGCGATCGGGTCGAATGGACATGTTCATTCACATGCCTTACTGTACAACTCAAGGATTTAAGGTCTTGGCGTCCAACTACCTTGGCATCAACGGTCACCACAAGCTCTATGGTGAGATCAAAGGCCTAATTGAGGATGTACAGGTGACCCCTGCAGAAATTGCTGGGGAGCTAATGAAGAGCGACAATGCTCGTATTGCTCTCGGTGAAGTAGTTAATTTCCTAAAGCGAAAGAAGTTTAAAGAACATGATATCGAGGAAGATAAATGTAGTGGATCTGAAAAGGAAGCAAAGAGGATGAAAAGGAAGAAGATTGCTGATAGGACTACAAGGAACTGTAGAAAAATAACCACCGGAGTAGGAAGTCGTCGATGCTGATGAACCAAAAAAAAAATGCAAGCAGTTTATACCAGCTCCATTGAAGATGTTCGACTAAAAAGAGAACGCAAGTGTTGGTTGGTGTATTTCTTATTTTCTGAGAACATGCTTGGTTTAAAATGTTTAACTTGCATTTTCATCTTGTTGGGTTTGACCTAGACTTGAAGAGACCTCTTGGTCAGGGGCGTCAAGAATGATAATTGAATTACCCAGATCCTCCCATTTTGCTGGCATCTTCAATTCTAATGTATAAGTCAACTAAGGATAATTCGTGCTCGAACGTGTTATCGTTGGATGTTACTCTTTTTTTGTTAAGCATGTCACTGTTTGATGTTACTGTATTACGTGTGTGTGTGTTTATATATATATATTAAATTTCAAACTTCAAATGATACACAAATATTAAAAGGAATCTTAAAAATATCACATTCAAGTAGATATTCACTATTTATAGTAATGGTAAAAGAGGTTTTAAGACTTTTTTTTAGCACATGTACTTCTATTCCAATTACTTTAGAAAGTGTATTTTTATCCTATTAAGTTTTTCGGGAGGTACCGGCCTCCCTAAGCCCCTAAAAAATTCAGTCCCGGGTTTTTAAACCCGATCCGTAGTTAGCCCGAAGGTTAAACCCATAATCATGAGTTTCGTCTAACCTAGGGAGGGAGTGAGTTTAAGAAGATGAGTAAAGGTTTAAGAATTCAAAAGACAATTGTACCCCTTAACATAAGTATGAATTGAATTGATCAAAGGTAAAATAGTCATTTATAAAATAAATAGTTGTTAATAATTATGATATATCCCTGAATCCTACAAGTATATATGTTACATATCAAACTTTAGAAAAAAATATATATATCTGAGAGTTAAATGGGATTGATCCACGAGAAGATTAAAGCTCGGATAGAAAGTCGGAAGGGAACAAGAAGCATGATCCACGGAGGTATCCAAAAACCATGACAATAATGTAAGGATCGATCCCTACTTTGGGAATCAATCCTTGCTTGTTTGTTGTTGAATTGAAGACTACTTTACGTGGATCGATCCTTCGCTATTTTGGATTAATCCGTGAAGGGAAGTTAAGTCGGTTTGAAGGAAACTTGATCCACATTGACTTGTACAAATACTTTATTATAAATATATTTGCATGCTATTGAAATGTGATTTGTCCTTCTTCCTAGCCCAGAAGTTGTTTAACCTAGTTTGATATATGTATTTTTTTTTATCACAATTCCTGGAGGAATAGCCAGAGATTGTTAGTAATCATTTTGTACTCTTTAATTAGGGTTGACAGATTTGTAATTTTTTATACAGATATTTCTGTTCATGCAATTTGTATTTTGATATCAATGTTAAATCTTTTATTTATTTGATTCATTGAATGTTCTTAGTAAAATTTGATATTTTATTCAATTAATTGATTAATCATCAATATGATTGATTTCTTGGTATGGGTAATACTTATAATTCTCAATAAATATTTTAATTAGTTCTTCAAATTTTATTTTCAAATCAATTAATTTAATTTGATCTTTCAAAAAATATTTTCAGGTTAACTACATTGATGTTGAAAATTAACCGAGATAATCAATATTACGTAAATTCTAGTAAATTGATCAAATCCAGATCCCGGAGCAAAAAAAATATTTTTCAATTATTGTTTACCATTAATTTATTTTTTTACAACTGCTTTCTAAACATTTCTATTTTTTATGAAACTTATTTTTCATTGCATTATAATTCAATTTACTCATTCCATGTGGATTGACTTCGAACTACACCGAATTATTATTATAACTTAACTGTTTCTGATGAGCTCGAATTTTACTGGGCCAAGCCCAATTTAGATAAATCGAGAAAGCCCAAAGAAGCGTCCATTGTTGACCGACCGAGGAGGACAGCACCAAAAGCCAACGGCCGAAGGAGGAGCAGGACAATGGAGCCCTTGGGCGCCTCCTAGGTTGGCCCCTTGGGTGCCGCCCATGGCAGCCCCTTGGGCGTCTCCTAGGCTGGCCCCATGGGCGCCGCCTGGGCTGGCCCCTTGGGCGCCTCCCTCTTCGCTCCTCCTCACCTTGGTACTCCAGGTCCAGGTTCAAGACAAGTCGAGGTCCAGGTCCAGGTTCAAGACAAGTCCAGGTCTAGGTCCAGGTCCAACTAATATTCTCCTCCGAATGAATAGGAGCACGAGAGAAGATAATATGGAAATAGATATAGAAGATCTCCTACCATAGCAATACTTGCCAAAGTAATAGAATTCTTCTCTCTCACGTCACCGTCTCTACTACCTTACCCTAGTTATATAATTTAAGCCCTCTCAACATTGAGGGCACGACTCCAACACTTTCAATGCCTCCAAGGACCTTCTTGAGACCTCTACACCTCAAAGGCCTCCAAGACCTCTACACCCACTCTTATACACACTGCTTTCTCTCTGTCTCCCCACAAGCACTGTATCTCTCCGGAGTACTATCATTCATTAACATCAATAAAAAACACAGGCAGCCGCTGCCATTCCCGAGAGTGGACGTAGGTCACCCGGACCGAACCACTATAATTCCTGTGTTTATCTATTATTTACTATTTTCTTCTTACTTGTCATTGATTGCTTGTTTGTCACTTATTAATTGCACCCTTACACATACTTGACTGTTGATCTTGCACAAGACAATTTTGTGTATCATCAGTTTGACGTCGTCTGTGAGAAACGATAAATTTTCTACTACCTTTCAACCTTTTTGCAATCCATCGCAATCATGACCCAAACAAGGTCTCATCAACCGGGAGACAACAACCTTGCGCTCCACCTCCCCTCCCACCTTCAGAACCCTCTGCCACGGTGCCTCCCACCGTTGGACAACAGCAGCAGCTTCTACAAACTATGCAACTATTAGTGAAACAAAACCAGTAGATGATCCAATTAATGCTTGACCAAGGGGGCATCACCCATCATCTCGACGGAGGAGTCCCATTCCCTCCAGCTGGAAAGGAAAAATTAAAAATCCTCCAATTAATTACAAATCGGGGGAACAACAATCATGGTAAGGCTGTGAATGGTGTTTTTCCGTATTTATTTGCTATTCATCTCATTGTGATCTGCAATGATGAAAGCATTATATAAGCCTTGCATTCAATTCCATGTTCATGTTCAAAAATAAAAAATAAAAAAACAAAATCAGTTACATGTTTAAAACTGTTTTTAAAAGAAACATGACAACCATTTTAAGATAATGACATTCAAACTGTACCTCAATTTTACACACATTATTTGTCCATACATTTAGAGAGGGCAGACAGGGAGAGGGAGAGAGGAAGAGCAAGGAGAGAGAGAGATCAAATTATTCCTTGTGGTCTTCTCTGTTGAAACATTATCCTCTTTCATGAGGTGTCAATGGACGACAACATTGCTTAACCAATAATACAATTTTTTTCTTTTCAAATAATAGAATGAATTTTTTTTAAACTTTCTTTTAAATTTTTCATGTTAATCAAATATATACATGAAAATATATATTATTTCGGTTTTTTTCTTTACTTCACTCTCACTTTTCATTATTCTTTTCTTTTTAACCAAATGGACTTAAGAGAATAGCATAAGTTTAGAGCAAAAGTGTGTTTATCGGCCATCTTTATTTGAAATTTTCTAACTATAATATTATGAGAATTCTTTTGGTAAAATTTAGAAAATTAGAAGTGGGTAAAGGCTTTAATGGCTGGGGTGATTTTGTTTGTCAACAAAAGGGGGGGGGGGTTGAATTGCACTGTATACCCTTAAAAATTTTAAAATTCTTACTTTGTATCCTTAAAATTAAGTTTTACACATATATACTAAATATATCAAAAGTATTGTAATGTGACTCTTCTGTTAATTTTTTCGGTCGTATCCATGGATTGACTTTTGACAAAAAGAAGAATGGAAGTTAACAGAATGACTATATTGATAAATTGAGGGTATAATATGTAAATTTAGCTTTTAAAGATATAAAATAAAAATCTTGAAATCTTTTCAGGTACAAAATACGAAAACCCCAACAAAAACAAAGGAAAGTTTTCATACCTGAAAACATAACATCCTTGCTCAGTTTTGCAAAAGTTCTTGTCCTTCTGGTATTTCGAATTCTGAATAGCATATCTGCTGCGTTAATGTGGTACATTTAAGTAAAAACTGATGATGCACAAAATTGTCTTGTGCAAGATCAACAGTCAAGTATGTGTAAGGGTGCAATTAATGAGTGACAAACAANGATCAAATTATTCCTTGTGGTCTTTTCTGTTGAAATATTATCCTCTTTCATGAGGTGTCAATGGACGACAACATTGCTTAACCAATAATACAATTTTTTTCTTTTCAAATAATAGAATGAATTTTTTTTAAACTTTCTTTTAAATTTTTCATGTTAATCAAATATATACATGAAAATATATATTATTTCGGTTTTTTTCTTTACTTCACTCTCACTTTTCATTATTCTTTTCTTTTTAACCAAATGGACTTAAGAGAATAGCATAAGTTTAGAGCAAAAGTGTGTTTATTGGCCATCTTTATTTGAAATTTCCTAACTATAATATTATGAGAATTCTTTTGGTAAAATTTAGAAAATTAGAAGTGGGTAAAGGCTTTAATGGCTGGGGTGATTTTGTTTGTCAACAAAAGGGGGGGGGGGTTGAATTGCACTGTATACCCTTAAAAATTTTAAAATTCTTACTTTGTATCCTTAAAATTAAGTTTTACACATATATACTAAATATATCAAAAGTATTGTAATGTGACTCTTCTGTTAATTTTTTCGGTCGTATCCATGGATTGACTTTTGACAAAAAGAAGAATGGAAGTTAACAGAATGACTATATTGATAAATTGAGGGTATAATATGTAAATTTAGCTTTTAAAGATATAAAATAAAAATCTTGAAATCTTTTCAGGTACAAAATACGAAAACCCCAACAAAAACAAAGGAAAGTTTTCATACCTGAAAACATAACATCCTTGCTCAGTTTTGCAAAA